TCATATACATACTTATAAACATATTCGTGAAATATATATAAATATATATAAATATATAAATATATATAAATATATAAATATATATAGATATATATAAATATATATAAATATATATAAATGTATATATATATAAGTATATATAAATATATATATATATATATATGCAAATACAGATTAATTTATATATCGATGGAGGTATGCGGGAAATAATATTCTTCGGGTCTTAAATATAAATTTATCGATGAATGTTTATATTAAGTGTAGCAGCAATAAATAAACAAATAAATAAATTAAATAAATAAATAAAATAAAATAAATAATTACATCTCTAACAGCACAGTCTTGGGTGTAACACAACTAAACAAACAAGCAAACAAATAAATAAAATAAATAAAATAAATAAAATAAGAATTACATCTCTAACAGCACAGTCTTGGGTGTAACACAACTAAACGAACGAGCAAACAAGTAAATAAAATAAATTAAACAAATAAAATAAAATAAATAAAATAAATAAAATAAATAAGAATTACATCTCTAACAGCACAGTCTTGGGTCTGCATGCGAGTTTTTACGACATCTAAGGGCGTCGACACAAAACCAGCGAAGCCTCCGCTTATTCCTGAACACAAATAAATATAAATATTTATCTATATTTATATTTATATTTATTTGTTTATCTTTAGGTTTGTATTTAGATTTATGATTAAATGCAGCAGCAAATGGAGCAGCAGCAGCAGCAGCAGCAGCAGCAGCAGCAGCAGGAAATAGAGAAAAAGCAGCATCAAAAGCAATAACTGCAGCAGCAGCAAAAGGGGAAGCAGCAATAGCGAAGCAGCAGCTACAGCAGCAGTAACCGCATCAGTAACAGGAACACAGCAGCAGCAAAGCAGCAGCAGCAGCAAAGCAGCAGCAGCAGCAAAGCATCAACAGCAGCAAAGCAGCAGCAGCAGCAAAGCAGCAGCAGCAGCAGCAAAGCAGCAGCAAAGCAGCAGCAGCAGCAAAGCATCAACAGCAGCAAAGCATCAGCAGCAGCAAAGCATCAACAGCAGCAAAGCAGCAGCAGCAGCAGCAAAGCATCAACAGCAGCAGCAAAGCAGCAGCAGCAGCAGCAAAGCAGCAGCAAAGCAGCAGCAGCAGCAGCGGTTATTAGCGTCTGACCAGCACAAAGGAAGTAGAAGGGTAGGCAAGAGGAGTGTGTGAAGTTATTTTGTTTGTGCTGCAGCTGCTGCAGCTGCTGCAGACTTCTTTTTAGATTCTCATTCATAAATATTAAAGAAGCACCAAAGGGTATATTCAACAAAACTGAGACGGGCAGCGACCTAAACAAAGCCAGCGGCCCCTCCAGTCGCAGCGTCGCCATCAAACACGCCCGCACAGACCTGCGCATACACCCCAAACCCTAAGCCCTAAACCCTAAACCCTAAACCCTAAACCCTAAACCCTAAAAGCAATATAACCTAAAACATGGAGTATTTAATTGTGTCGGTATAGCCGAGCTAAGGACAAATACAAAAAAAAAGATAAATAAAATTAAATAAATATAAATAAATATAAATAAATAAACAAAGATAAACAAATATAAACAAAGATAAACAAATATAAACAAAGATAAACAAATATAAACAAATAAATGCAAGCGAAAAAAAACAATAAAAATAGTAAAATAAAAATAAAACAAAAATACACCCCAACAACAACAGCATCACCTCGCGCGCTGCAGCAGCAGCAGCAGCAGCAACAGCAGCAGCAGCAACAGCAGCAGCAGCAACAGCAGCAGCAGGAGCAGCACCTGAAGCAGCCTAATTGCATGCGTTGTTTGATAACATCGAAAGGAGTTAATAATAAGTCATGGCTCAGCGTAGCGCACGCCCCACACAGCAGCAAACCCCAAGGCGGAAGGTGCACCTGCTGCTGCTGCTGCTGCTGCTGCTGCAAGTGCTGCTGCTGCTGCTGCAAGTGCTGCTGCTGCTGCTGCAAGTGCTGCTGTTGCTGCTGCAGTTGCTGCAGCGTTTCTTCTTGCTTGGCATCAAGTCTCGGCTTGGTCTGCTGCTGCTGCTGTTGCTGTTGCTGCAGCAGCAGCACCTGTTGCTGCTGCTGCTGCAGCTGCTGCTGCTGCTGCTGCTTACGAAGTGCACGCTGCGTAAGAGTTTGTTTGATGAATTCAAACGAAGCAAAGTAGCAGCCATGGGCGGGTATACACCCCAACACAACAGCACCAGCTCCTCTATATAAGTTAAGAAGGCCTCCTTCATTATAAACATATCTTAAACCTTTAAATACGCCTCCAACTATACTACCGCCTATGGGGCCCCCAGAGGGGCCCCCGGGGAGGGCCCCCAATGGCCTTGCTGCACCTGTTGTTGTTGCTGCTGCTGCTGCTGCTGCTGCACCTGTACCCCACGCCATTGTTGCTGCTGGCCGCGCAGTAGAAAGGATTGAAGGGACCTTCAATCCTGTGCTGCTGCTTGCTGCAGCAGCAACTGCAGCAGCAGGAACTGCTGCAGGAGTTCCAGCAGCAGCAGCAGCAGCATTTGCTGCTGCTGCTGCTTCTGAACGCCATGCTGCAGAAGCTGCTGCAGATATAAACCCTTTAAACCCTTCTCTTTTGCTGCTCTTCAATATTTCTTTATAACCTTCAGCCAGCACTCCTCTATAAAACCATGGGCCCCAACGGGGGGCCCCCAAGGGCCCCCCGTTGGGGCCTTTGTTGTACCCTGCAGCTTCATTAATTAGATTTCGTGATGATACTTCGCTACCAATCGTCTGCATGGGGGCCCCCCCATGGGGGGCCCCCATGGGGGGCCCCTGGGGGCCCCCCTGTGTTTGCAGTGCTTGTGAAGAGATTGCAGCTTTAAAAGAAGAGAGAGACTGAGACAAATTATTTATATTTGAAGACGTTGGCTGCTGCAGCAAGTTGAGTTTAATAGGCGAGTTTGTTTGGGGCCCCCTAACATTATAATACCCCTTTGAACAGGGGCCCTCTGCACCTTTCCCCATGCTGCTGCTGCTGCTGCTGCTGCTGCTGCTGCTGCTGTTGCTGCTTGCTGCTGCTTTATAGGGGCATGCAGAGCTGGATGCCCCCATTGAGGGTGCCCCCATTGAGGATGCCCCCATTGTGGGGGCCCCCATAGAGGGGGCCCCCCTATATGCTTGCATGCGGGTTTTGACAGTATCAACAGGGTACATCGCTACATGCTCAATGGCTCCTGCGCAACTTCCTGCTGCTGCATGCAGCAGAAACGGCCAATCGCCTCTCCACTCCTCCCACTCCAAAGGGTCCTCCAACTCCTCTACACACAAATCATCAATTGGGGGCCCCCCATTTAGTGGGGGGCCCCCAATAGGGCCCCCATTTGATTGGGGGCCCCCA